AAAAATGATAGAGTATTTTGTATTATATATTAGAAAGTATGTTTTCAAATTTATATTACACCAAAATATGTTTTTTCACCTTAAAGTAATTTTATATTTTTACAGCTCAAATTGCATTTTTTGTATATTTCAATTTGAAAATTTGAGCTCTCATATATTGTTAATTTGGGTTTTAAAACTCTTTCAATTAATCAAAATTTGATACTATTTTGATTTTATAACAATAAATCTTGTCATTTTTGTTTTTTTTTTTGTTTTTTTTTCCAATTTTTTAGTTGTTCATATTAAACTTTGGAATATATTTAGTTGTAATAATCATTATTATTTGACTGAAATTTGAAATCCTATTTATTTATTTATTTACTTTTGAGATAGACAATGGATTCCACTTTTTGTTATCTATTTTACTTAGATTATATTAGGTTGCTTAAATAATTGGTTTTGAAGTCTCACTTAGATTGATCATATTAATTCTATTTTAGTCACTTGTAGAGAATTTAAATAGTCAATACTTGTCTCTTCATTATCTTTTTGTTGGATTATTTTTTTTATTTTTCAAAAATTAAATGATTTTACCTCTTCATCTATCAAGAAAAATTAATTCGTATGGTAATGTAAAGGGAAGCATTATTTAGATGGCCTTGTGTCTTCAAATACCAAAAGAAATTAATTAGCATGGTGCACAAAAAAAAAGATTAGTTAGATGAACCAATTTCTTTATTTATATTACGGTTTTAAGTTTTTATAATGATTTTTATAAATGCATACCCCTAATTAATATATAAGGTAGCATTTTTTTATATTTTTTAAATGGTCTTATCTCTTCATCTATCAAGAGAAATTAATTCATATAATAATGTAAAGGGAAAACATTATTTAGATAACCTTGCTTCTTTATAAAGAATTAAATAAAGAATTAAATTTATATAAAATTTTAAAAATTTATTTTTTATTTTTAATAAATATAATAAAAATAAATAAATTTTAATTATTAAAAATAAATAATAAATTAT